GTAACCAATCATCAGTAATTATCATTGATCAGTTCATTAAATGATTGTTTATTTAACAATACTTTTACACTATACTTATTTGAAATCCATATTTATCATTATGCCTGTCAGAAATCCTATCGAAAGAAGCAGAAAATTGATAGAGAGATTAAAATCTGGCATGACATTAAATCAAAGTGTTATGTAATATCACTCTGTGGCCTAATCCAGATAATGGCCGTATCGCTTCTGAAATGCATAAATTATACTTTATAATCATAAAAAGCTAAGCTTAAATTGAAAAAAGCACAGAAAATTGCTTGTTCTTTCTTAAGCTTAATACTTAAAGTGCTGCACTGCTATTTTATATAAGCTGACTTTAAGAGCTGTATTCAGAAGGTTTTCTGGTCACACTCAGAAAACATTCAAATACACTTATTTCTCTTTCTTTACAGTGAATGTTCTCAGAAAACAGCTGCTGGTTTGCTTCATAGTCTGCTAGATGAAATATTGAAATATTGAGATGAAGAACCAGCACTTTCTTCATGCACCCCCCCCTCCCCAAAACAAACAAACATTCATATCTTTTTGAATCTCACAGTTGCAAAGGATGTAGCAAGAGCACAAAGTTTGACCTGAATAATATAGACCTTACATAAGTTTCTGTGCTGTACCAGAGAAAAACACTAAAATAACATTTTTATAAACAGCACTGAAAGCTCAATCTGATTGCAACATTGTTTGTCAGCATCCACAAGTGTCACATTAAATGACACGTAACATAAAATGCTAAATGTCTGTGAATTGATTCTGTGTGCTCCTTTCATGCATGATTTTGCAGCATGAGCCAAAGCAAAGGCGGTTAGCAGATGGCCAGTTTTTTTCCCCCATGGTGACAGACAGAACTTTCTGAGCAACCGCGACGGAAAGATGTGTCATTCATCAACAGCACGCCGTCTACTCGTTTTGGAATACACTCAAACCCAAACATGAAAATATCTCATGAAGATTACTGATTCGCAAAATAATTTAGATTTTTTTTTTTCATTATGCATCATTCTTCCATCTAAAAATGTTATCTTGCATCTTTAAAGCATGCTCATGGGTCACTTTGACTTGAGTGGCATGAAGCATGATATTATTATCAGTCTATTGATTCATATGTTGGGTCTGTGCAGTCAGTGATGCCCAGGAGGCTTCACACACTCATGGTTATGACGGTATTTAGACTGACAGTAAATGGCAATTAGATCAGAACATATTATAGAATAACAGACAAACCTCTCCACCATCCTTGCAGGAACAAAAACATGTTTTGTTATTCAGGCAAAAATGATTCCCAGCACATTATGTAAACCGCAGCATTTGCAAGTCTGTCTGGCATTAACATGAGGTTATCTCTAGCTATGATTCAGGCAGAAATATACAGACCTTCATTATTTGTGTGGCTAAAACTGAAAAACTGTTTTATTTTTTCAGGATATTTCCCATTACATTTGTCTTGGCATTAAAAAACTAAACTATTTAAACAGAAGCTACAGGCAAGAAACCACTTTATTCCATTTCCCAGAGAGGGAATTTAGTAAGAACTTTCATTTGATATCAGAGATATGGAATAATAAATAATACTAGTATAACAATATAGTTAACATGTACAGTACTTAGCATAATTGAGTACACCCCATTTTAAAAATGAATATTTTTATCTATTAATATGGTTAAAATATATATGTACATTTGAACAAAACAGATTTATTAAACAGATATATTTATTAAAATAATATTTTTGTCACACAACATCTTTAGAAATAGAAAGATACAATCATTTCAACAAAATTGTATATATTTTTTTTGTTTCTGTTGATTTGTGCTATTTTTTTTTTTTTAATTTTGCTTAATAACATATAAATTTGCTACTATTTTTTTAACCATTATTTTATGTTATTTTGTTAGATTAGCTCCAGATTTGGGTTCAGTACTGGCTAAACTAATGTATATGCACAAATATAATATTGTAAAGCATCCTAAAGAAAATATTAATTTATATGAGAGATTTGTGGAGGGTGTACTCATATATGCTGAGCACTGTATGTGGGTTTGCTGCATTTTGATGATCTTCAGGTAAGCTTAGGCCACTAAATAATGAATTTACTAAACAGTTAAGCTACATTCTGTTTTGCACTTTATGCAAATTTATAGTTTTCCACTGACTGCTATTAAAGTACTTTGAGCAAATGGTTTATGACTAAAAATAATAGATCAAATTCAGTATATACCAGACTAGGGCTGCACAATATATCATTTCAGCAACAATATCACAATGTGAACATTCACAATACTGTAGACACATTGCGAGTAAATGCAACATTGAGCCTGGATTTTAATATATCATTTCAAGTGTTTTTTGAGGCCTGTGAGCGTGTGAGGGTTTTAAAAGCATGCAGGCCTAAGAAATAACACAAATTTGACAAATTAATACTGATCAATTCTATTTAATTGGTTATAAAATGAAGACTATGCTGTATTATTGAACATTTGATTATTCAATTACTTTATACCTGAATACAGTTTAACTACTCGAAAAACAATATAAAAATGTGTCTTTTATTTATTGAATTCATCTATGCTTTTAGATTATTCCTTATATTTTATGCACTCCCCTACAATCATCATAATTATTCTAAAATTATAAATTCTTTCTAAATAGTTATTCAACACATCTAGTGAAATTGAATTCATATAGCTGTATTGTAGCAAAGTTTGTTTGTAGGGTGAGAAGAAGACAGCAGTAGATTTTATTTTAAATTGTACCCACGACAACACTGTAGCTGTGTGTGTGTGTGTGCTCTCTCTTTTCCCAGTTGCTACTTCACTCCTTATGAAGGGTTGCTCTCTGGCCCAATCACTAGAATAAACAGGTGTTGTTTATTATTTTTGATTAGACCGCTGATTAGCTGCTGGGCTCTGAGCATGCTCTCCCCCCTCAATGGGTGTTCGATCATGCTTACCTCTCCACAAATATATATCGCAGAATAAAAATATTTTGCATATTGTTTGCATTACCCCACTGATAATGCAAACAATATACAGAAAAAGAGATTCAGACGAAATATAAATGCACTGCTCTAAATTGCATGTTTTAGGCATTTTCCTGTGAAAAGGCATTATAAAGTAAATGCTTAACATGGTATTAGGACAGTGTGTTCGTTTTCATCGGCTTGCATGTATATACGCATCATCAATAAGGTGTTACTGAATTTAATCTTTTAATATGGTCTTAATACATTAAGCCATGATTTTAGTGATTAAAAGAAAACCACATCCTAAATGTAAAAGTCACTTAGTTTATTAAATAAAGACCCAATTCATACTGTGAAAAAAAACAATATAATAAACTGGTCCAAAATTTGTTTGGGATTATTTTTATTTTTCATTTAGTTCCATTATTATTTGTTGTACTTTGGACTTTGTTTATTTATTTAAATTGATATTTTATTATTCATTTTATTCTTAATTATTTTCTGTTTTAATAATACTATTTTATTTATCCAAAGATATTATGCAATTTTTAAAAGACATTTCTTGTATTGATTATTTTATATAATTTTATAAGATTAATTTTTATAAACTACTATTATAATTATTCCATTATATATATATATATATATATATATATATATATATATATATATATATATATATATATATATATATATATATATATATATATGTGTGTGTGTGTGTGTGTGTGTGTGTGTGTTGGATTGTTTTGTTTCTTTAATACTAATATGTGTTAATATTATTCAATGTTTATATAATTAATTAAATTATTTATTTATTGTTAAGTGAAATTCTCCTAAAGATTTAGCACTAAGCCTCTGGCACTCCTTTACACCACCAGTTTAATAAACCCTAATGTAAATATTTGTGGCTAGAGACAAATTTAAAAAATTGACAGGACTACTGCAGTTGTATGCATGTTTTACCCTCCAGGTTTCTTCGAAAGTTAAGTGAAAAGTTTTCATTTCAGTATTATAATTTTTCTGTTTTGTTTTTAGATGATTTGCATTGCTGGGTTGGCACAAGGTCTACAAACTTAAAAATAGTTTTTGATATTACACTATTATTTTTGTTTGGATGATTTGCATCGCCATGTTGGCAGAGGAACCACAAGCATTTGACTGGTCATTGTATTGATAAGTCATGCAAAATCTGTCAGGTAAACTGAGTTCATGAAAGCATAACTGCACCGATGTTTGTTCCGAATATTTTCTCCAGACATTTAGTGAGGCGTTAAAGCCCAGACAGTTGTGAGCTTAGATAAAATTAGGCAACACTTTATATTAAAATCTCCTAAAGCCAGATTAAACCACATACAATTACATGCAGTCTGAAATCTATGGAAGCTGAACTGGAGACTGAATGCCAACAACATTAAGGATTTTATCCTGCAATAAACTATTAGGTCTGACTGTTTTATTGCAGTTTTAATGTTCTTATTTGTTCTCTCCAATTGACACTTGCTAAATATACAGTACATGTCTGCACAGTACATCACTTCATAAGAAAGCATTTGCACTAAATCTCTGAAAGAGCCATCTTATCACTTCAAAGTGTGAAATTCTCAGAAATAAGAGCCTCCTCTCATCCGCCCATGCAAATGCCCTCTCTGCCCTGAAACTGAGCTAATCATACTCAAAATCACAGCTGCTCAGAGTCTGGCAGACACAAAAAGCATCCTCAGCTGGACTGAAACCCCAAAATTTGGCCTGCTCACTCACGTCCCCTATGTGCATGCATGAATTCACAAAGCAAGCTAATAATCACCCCTGATCCATATTTCAAGGAATTGTGTCATCTGTTGGAGCCATCTGATGAGAGAGATCAAAGCAAACCAGTGTAGTCATCAGAGAGTCCCATCTGTGAGCTTAATTACTCGTCGAGCAAGCAGGCCTCTCAAGGAGGACGAAGCTGCATTGCATTTACACTAATCAGCGTTCATCACCGTTACACCAACTTACCGTGCGTGTCCTGGTAGTGAGGCAGGCTGAGGTCCCGCAGCGTATCGCCCCATCCCTCCTCCTGCGCCTGCCCGCTAGACACAGAGCCGGGAGGAACGCAGCTCTGACTTCGAGTTTCATTGACTCTCGCATCGTCCGCATTCGTCTCCGGGTAGTTATCCGAATTGGAGTCTCCGGTGGTACTGTAGAAGGGGTTCTCGCTGCTGTCGTCGCCTGACTCCCCGAACACATCATCGGAAATCTGCAGGCTCTCGTAGCGAGATCGCGCCTCCTCGAGCAGCGACAGTCCCCTCCTTCCACACTCCGCCATCGTTTGTCAGTCCCGACGTTGAGCTGCTACACCCGGCGAGCTTCGGCATGCAAATGACCTCCTTAAAAAGAGTCCAATCCGGCATCCAGTCTGCTCTGCCGAGCCCCTCCGCTGCGCCTGAACAGCGGCCGCAGGTCTCACTAGCGGCGGGGAAACAAAGGTGAGCGCCGTGGGAGCTGTCCGCCGTGCGTGGTGCTGAAAAGCCCCAATCCTGCTCGTGGAACCCCTCAACTGACCACTCCACAAACGAGCTCTGCATCCGGGTTGGGTGGGCGAGCGGGCGGACTCCTTTCTCTGTGGAGGACTGAATGAAGCTCCGGCTTCCTTGAAAATCACCTGACTTGCTCTTCCTGCGCTGTCCAATGGGATTAACCTCTGAATGAATCATGGATATTATTATAGACACACGAATTATATTCGTTCTGCCTTAGATGAAGTATTTAGATGGCTTGTAGTAGGTATTGTTTTTTTCGGTTTGAATATGCAAGAGCATCAAACTGGGTTTAGGAAGAATTTTTTAAAGCAAAAAACAAACAAACAAACAAACAAACAAACAAAAAATAATAATAATAAATAAATGAAAATTGAAATTGTGTATTAGTAATGCATTCTTACGCAAAATGCTTACACAGTGTTCAGCATAACTGAGTAAAGCCCATTTTGAAAATAAATATTTTTAACAATTTCTCAGTGAACACAGGCAATTTATCTTTGTGCATTTAAACAAAACAGATTTATTAAACAGATACATTAATTAAAACATTATTTTCATCACCAAACATATTTAGAAATTGAAAGATAATACAATTAAATTCAAGCTAAATATTATTTTTAAAGTACAAACCACGAAATGTCCACAAAAAAAATATTTTATTTTTTTCGTCTTCTCTTTATTTTTCCATTTTTTAAATTTGTATTTAATATTTTTCTATAACATGTAAATTTTTCGTTATCGTAAGTAATTTTGTTTGATAAGCTCCAGATTTGTTTCCCAGAAGGTTGTGGCCAAAAGGGCATCATCTGCGTAAAAACTGGCTAGATAAGTTGGTGGTTCATTCCGCTGGGTTCCCTGAATTATCCGGGAATGAGGGAATGAGGGAATCCTCATTATACAAATATAATATTGTATAGCTTTCTATTAAAAAATATGAATGTATTGCAGTTTGAAAATGAAAGAGTATCAAAAAGTCAAGTATTTTTATTTTCCAATAAATAAATATTCAAATGTGAGCCCCAGAGGCCCAAATGATGTACAGCACTTAGCATAAATGAGTACACCCCATTTTGAAATTTTATATTTTTATTTATTTCTTAGGGAATATGGGTAATATATATTGGTGAATTTGAACAAAACATTCATTCATTTTCTTGTCGGCTTAGTCCCTTTATTAATACGGGGTTGGCACAGCAGAATGAACCGCCAACTTATCCAGTAAGTTTTTACGCAGCGGATGCCCTTCCAGCCGCAACCCATCTCTGGGAAACATCCCCACACACATTCACAAACACACACATTCATACTCTTCGGACAATTTAGCCTACCCAATTCACCTGTACCGCATGTCTTTGGACTGTGGGGGAAACCGGAGCACCTGGAGGAAACACACGCGAAAACATGGAGAACATGCAAACTCCACACAGAAACACCAACTGAGCCGAGGTTCGAACCAGCGACCTAGCAACGCTCTTGCTGTGAGGTGACAGCACTATACCTACTGTGCCACTGCCTCGCCATTTGAACAAAACAGATTTATGAAACAGATACATTTTTTAAAATAATATTTGGTTGCAGAAGGTCTTTAGAAATGGTAAGATAATACATGTATATTCATGCAAATATGCATTTGACAGAGATTGTCATTTCAAATTTAACGTAACCTTTAGTTTCTTTGTTTTATTGGTACGCTACAAAAAAGCCACCTGAAATTAAATGATACAATTAAATATTGTAAATGAATCAGACTTTTAAAATGTAAACACTGTCATACAGACATTAAAACAGACAGAGGACAATGCATAAAACATCAAGGTAAAGGCAAGAAAAGCTTGACTAATGTATTCAGCATTGAATTCCATTGTGTTATAATGGCATTGTTTATCCACTTAAACTCTGCTGCTATTTGAAGATTTCCGCCTGGATTTTGCCTACCCAAATTTAAAAGCTTCCCAAATCCACATGCAGAGGTGTAAATGCAAAAATTTGGTGTCATTTTAAAGAAAACCCTTTGAATTTACATAAAACACTATTGAAAGTGTTTAAAATAACTGTATATGTCGTCTGTGTTATAATGAACACCTAAAAAAGAGGCGCTTTTTGTATTTTTTTTATAAACTCAAATTTGAAAGTGTGGTCTAGCGTGCTTTAATTAATTTTGTTGGTTCCTGCACATCTCTGTAATCATAGGGAAAAAGAAAAAGGTATCTACCATAATCTATGCAAAAGTTATTGCAATCCAACTGATGAGAGATGCTGTATAAGCCACAGAGACCGATCCTTGTTTACGTATTTCACTATTCTTTTGTTTGATCAAACATAATTCAATGTGTTTGGACCACATTAGACATATAAAAGGATTATTTATGCACATCACCTCAAAAACAGAGGAGAATGGCCCTTAAGGGCACAGCATAAGGTAAGAGATGACAGCTGTCTGTGCTATCTGGGGCTGCTTATTGATCATGAATGTATTGTTTACATTTCTGCGCCATGGAAACACCACAATTCATTCAACAACTGTTTGGCATATGAATATAATTCAGCAAAAAGAATGCTAGAACTGTATGAGCACCGGCAACAGCTTTCATTTGAGCTATAACTTGTACATGTGTCAAATGAAAAAATATGAAAATGAACCAATGTAAAATACCTAGCTCGGGTATCCAAAATACTGTGTATTTAAGTGTAAATTACTTTTATACAGTAGAATGAAAACCAAGGTGATGCATATGTCCATAAAATATAGATTCTACACTTTCAAACGACGGTCTGGTGCAACGCTAAACCTTTAAATCTGAAAGCGAAAGTCGATGACGCAAAGTTTAAATGGTTAAGTTGTAGTGTAATAGGCCTAAGTTCAGCATTAAAAAAATAAAATTATACTGCATTAATTATATGATTTAAAGCAAAATTTTTAGGAAATTCCCCTTGGCAAATTTATTGTAATACAGCTTGGTATATATTTGGCCCACAGCCCTCAATCCATTCTGTTTTTTGACCCTTTATAGGAAAAACTTGGGGCATCTCTGCTTTAGATAGTATAAATAATGATATTCATTTATTAATATAATCTTTAAAAATAATTCATTTATGTTGATACATTAGATGCTTGATATGTTAACTTCAAAGATTAAAAGAGCTACTTGACTACACAAAAACATATATGGATAAAAAAAATAACCCAAAAATGTTGATACAGTGCTCAGCATATACGAGAACACCCCTTACAAATCTTTTAAATTCATATTTTTAACAGGAAGCTTTACAATATTATGTGCAAATCATTAGATTAATCTGTATTGAAGTGAAATCTGGAGCTTCTAACAAAATTACTTATGATAATGGTCCAAAAACTAGTACAGTATTAAATAAAAAAATCAAGAGAAGCAAAAATAATAAATAAATAAATAAAAATAAATAAATAAAATAAAATAAAAAATAAAAAATAAAAATAATAGTAATACAATAAATAAATAAATGTAAAATGAAAATTGGAATTTTATTGTATTATCTTTAAATTTCTAAATATGTTTGGTGACTAAAATATTATTTTAATAAATATATCTGTTTGATAAATCTGTTTAGTTTAAATGCATTAAAATACATTGTCTATATTCACAGAAAAATGGTTAAAATATTTATTTTCAATACGGGATGTACTCAATTATGCTGAGCACTGTAGGCTATAAGTGAACAGTTTACAGTGTGTAACCATTAAAACTCCACTATTTTGATACACTTTGAGACCTTTCTAAATATTTAATAATTCACTGTGGGGTATGCGCATTATGAAATCCCTGTGCTGCTCACTACCTGAAAATAATTTCATTAATGGAGTGGTTTGTGGATTATATTTAAGCTGCAGTACTGTACCGCTGGTTGCCCAGTGAGGCGCTGCTCTCAATCCTTCTCTGTTTCAGGCTCTGTGGAGGTTGTATTTTCCAGCTACTCGTCAGCGTGTGCCATGTTTGCGGAAGTTGAATCGATTACTCTGTCATTTAAACGAAATGTAGCACTTTCTACTCACGTTTAACTAAATACATTCTGATTTTATTTATTTGTGACCCGTCCTAAAAGAATGATGACCTTACCGAAGGCACCGGATTCTCTGTGTTTCGACAAAGACGAATTTATGAAGGTGAGAGAGCTGTTAGTCATTTATCAGCTCAACAGAGCTCTGCATTCATCTGTACAATACCTAACTTTAGATGTGTATGTTTGCATTTTGTGTATTCATATATAATTTAACTATAACGTTACTGTTTGGGCAGGAAACTGGTACACCGTTTAGGCTCAATCTACTTACGTTATGTTCAGGGGGCCTAACGTTGAAGACCCAAAACAACGTTAATTTAGAGATTAATATTTTTATTCGGTCTTCAGACGGTTTAAAAATGATATTTTGGCTTTGAAAGAAAAACTATTGGACATTATGTATCTAAACCTTTTCCCCTAGCGGTTACAAATCCAGCGAACTATTTTCACAAATGTGTTCCTGTAATGTAGTTTTTTGACATATTTAACCAAATTATTCATTAATTTTCTTTTCGACTTAGTCCCTTTATTTATAGGGGTCACCACAGCGGAATGAACCGACAACTTATCCAGCATATATTTTACTTAGAGGATGCCCTTCCAGCTGCATTCCATCACTATGAAACATCCATACACTCAATCACACACATACACTACAATTTAGCCTATTCAATTCACCTATAGCGCATGTGTTTTGACTGTGGGAACCCACGCAAACACAGGGAGAACATGCAAACTTCACACAGAA